AAATTCAATGTGTATAGGAAACCTACCAATGTGTGCTCGTATGTACATTTCTATTCAAATCATCATGTTCAGGTCAAGCGGGCAGTTTTTTCTGGTATGTTTCTCAGAGCACTGAGAGTTTGTAGTCCGGAATTTTTCGATGAAGAAATAGCAAATATATTTGAAATTGGGAAGAAGTTAAAATACCCAAAATCGATCTTGGATCTTGCGTTTGGTCAAGCAAAAAGGACTTTCTACAAACAGACTACTAAGTCGAAACCAGAACTGAAAAATTCGTTGGTATTACCATATTCTGAGGGTCTAGTAAATCTTGCCCCAGCCCTGAAGAACCTTAATATTAATCTAGTGTTCAAAAATGATAATACAGTTAAGTCCATGTTAATTAAGAACTCGCCCTCGTCTGTAGCAGGTTGTGTGTATTCCATCCCTTGTAATGAGTGTGCATGTGTTTACATCGGCCAGACTGGTAAATCTCTTTCCTCGCGTTTAAAACAGCATTCATATGCTATTCGTACAGCCCAGCAATCCAGTGCATTGTATTTACATTCCAGTTTATGTAATCATTCTATCGACTTCACAGGGGCAAAATGTATTGTTAAAAGTAAGGATTTTGTTGAACGAAACGTGATCGAGTCTGCTCTGATCAAACATTGTAACAACAGCCTTAATGTGAGCCCCGGTATGTACAAGTTGGATCCCTATTTAAGCCTCAATATAGCACGTCAAAACAATATAGCAATCATTTAAACACGTATGGCACTTGGAGATATTAAAAGGAGCTGCCTTGTATGGGCCAATAAGCCTTCTGCAGTTTCCTTCTTTCTTATAATTCCTTTCCTTCACTTATTTTTGGTGGTCAGGTGATCTGCCCAGGCGGATATAAAGGTCTGATCAGCAAACTTATCTTCATTCTACTTTGCTCTGATGAAGGCGAATTAGCCGAAAACGCGTTAAGCATTTTCTATTTTTCATATGTGGTTATTCTGCATATATATTTATATATATATATTTATATATATATATTTATATATATTATATATATATATATTATATATATATATATATATATATATATATATATATATATATATATATATATATATATATATATATATATATATATATATATATGAATCGTGCTCTGAATCACGTTCATACTCTATCCAAGTACTATGTCGCCCATTTTCTATCCTTTATCCACCAGCAAGCCGGCTGTGTGGTGACCCACTATCCACTTCCCGTGTCCAAGCCTGGCTTCACGGGTCCAAGCCTGGCTTCACGGGTCAGACAGTGAAAATTGTGCGGATGTGAGATGAATGTTGAATTACTTAAGTCATGATTCACAACATGTTATCAGCGAGAGTTCAGGCAGCGAGCTCCTCCTGTCCTTGAATATTTTTGTTTAACCAGGCTTTGGTCGTCGTTAAATTTAAGAGTGTGAGGCGTTGTTTTTAGTGAGGTGAGGCGTTGTTTTAAGTGAGGTGAGGCGTTGTTTTAATGAGGTGAGGCGATGTTTTTCGTGAGATGAGGCTTAAATGTCACGTGTTCGTGACTCATCTAAAAGCTAAGTGAGTAAAAACATGTTTGTAAAACTTGGCCAGAGTGAAGGTAACGGCAGCGACACAATGTGGGGGGGGGGCAGGTTGATGCTACTGAGTGCTTGCACTCCTTGCCTCCACCCCCTATTACGGGCTATTCATGCCCGTGCCACCTCTTGGGTGGCTTAATCTTTATCCATCAATCAATCCAGTCCCTAGACACCCATTAACGCGTGTTCGACTAAACATACTTGAACTCCAGGGTATAACCCACATTATTTTATCATACATAAATCATATTCTCATCATCACTTTGTGCATTATTAAAGATGTCTCGCTTGTAAACGTTTCATCGAGTCTATCAGTTCCTGAAATTGATAGTGGAAAGATAAAAAGCAAAACGTGGGAATTCGAGAACTTGCTTTAAACCTAAGAATGTTACGCAGGTTGAGTTGATGCTCGAGCATGTAAACACAGTGGTGAGTAGACCTACCTTGAGGTTACCTTACCTTGAGATGATTTCCGGGGCTTAGCATCCCCGCGGCCCGGTCGTCGATCAGGCCTCGTAGACGGCTAATTCTCCTGTCGAAAAGGGCCAGATGATGAGGGGTTGTAGGCAGAACTGTGAGGGGGGGAGGAAATATGAGGAGTAAGTAGTAGTGGAGGTGTGGACTGGTGATATTATATGAGGGTAAGATGAGGCTAAAAGTAGAAAGGTGAAGGAAAAAGTTTATCGTGAGATATATTTCCTATAAAAAAAATTACACAAGCGGCGATGCAACGTTAAACATGCATGATTCTCTCAGTCTGTGTTGCTGTGCAAGATGACTGCAGTTCTGTGCACTAGACTACAATGCTTGTTGCTCATTTGATGATGAATTCGACATCAATATAATGTTCAAGAGACGTTGCTCCTCACATTATACTCACGAACCATCAACACCAAGAACATAAAATTCACGAAAGCTAAACTCACGGTCAAACAAGACAACAATATGAGAAGAAAAACCCATCACGGAAGCCGCCCAGCCAACCAGCACTACAAAGGCCTTCGTACAGACCCAGAAAATTGCAGAATTGTAATTTTCCTAATTGATACTATGATGCCTTAAGCCGTGACAAGTTAATCTTATCTCTCAGGCTTCACCTCACCTTCAACTCTTGTCACTGTTCTTCGTAAGTTGCGTCCTTGTGTTTCTTTCTCAGCTGTTGACGTCTTAGCTGCTTCCTTGTACGTCTTTCTCAGCTGTTGACGTCTTAGCTGCTTCCTTGTACGTCTTTGTCAGCTGTTGACGTCTTAGCTGCTTCCTTGTACGTCTTTCTCAGCTGTTGACGTCTTAGCTGCTTCCTTGTACGTCTTTCTCAGCTGTTGACGTCTTAGCTGCTTCCTTGTACGTCTTTCTCAGCTGATAAGGCTTTAAAGTCCCACTAAAATCTGTAATGAAGTAAGGGCGAAGATGTAGAACGGCCTATTGACATATCTCCAGTGCATGGAGGAGTTGTGTAAAACCCTGGTTTATGTCTCGGAGAGGCTGCAGGATCCAAGTAAGTTAGGTACAACTTCTGGTTTCAACTCTTTTGACCATGTCGTAGCTCAGTCGATTAAGGCAGCGTCTGGGATGATCTCGGACGTAAGTTCGAATCCTCATCACGGGCCCCTTATGGATTTGTTCAAAATCTCAGATATCGTATGTGCTCTAAGCTTAGTGTTTCTGTCCACAGTAGTTTAATGTGTCGACACAGATTTAAGATATAATCATGCTTAAGGTAACAGCCTGGTTGATCAGTCTAGCAACCTGGTTGATCAGTCCAGCAACCAGGAGGCCTGGTCGACGACCGGGCCGCGGGAACGCTAAGCCCCGGAAGCACCTCAAGGTAACCTCAAGGTAAGGTATTCGACACGGGTTCACGGTCAGAGATTATAAGCGAAGAAGAACGTTGCCAGATGAGTAATGAATGAAACGCGTTGCCAGATACTTGATCAATGAAACATGTTGCCAGATACTTGATCAATGAAACATGTTGCCAGATACTTGATCAATGAAACATGTTGCCAGATACTTGATCAATGAAACATGTTGCCAGATACTTGATCAATGAAACATGTTGCCAGATACTTGATCAATGAAACATGTTGCCAGATACTTGATCAATGAAACATGTTGCCAGATACTTGATCAATGAAACATGTTGCCAGATACTTGATCAATGAAACATGTTGCCAGATACTTGATCAATGAAACATGTTGCCAGATACTTGATCAATGAAACATGTTGCCAGATACTTGATCAATGAAACATGTTGCCAGATACTTGATCAATGAAACATGTTGCCAGATACTTGATCAATGAAACATGTTGCCAGATACTTGATCAATGAAACATGTTGCCAGATACTTGATCAATGAAACATGTTGCCAGATACTTGATCAATGAAACATGTTGCCAGAAGCGAGTTCACTGTTGCCCATCTCTCGTTCATCGTAAACTGAAGTGCGTGACATTATTTTTTTGGCGGTGTCATTATTGCAAGGCATTATGCCAGTGACTATTAGAGGTCATTATTGCAGTGCAATGGCAACTGTGGAAATTTTCATGTTGGATGTATAATGATAACTGAAAGCGATGCACTGCAGAATTGCATTAACATTTCATTACAAAAAGTTACGATGCTACTTACAATCATACGCTGTCACGTGTTATCTTGCAATGACGCGTGTTATCTTGCAATGACGCGTGTTATCTTGCAATGACGCGTGTTATCTTGCAATCGCACATTTTATCTTGCAATGACACGTGTTATCTTACAATGTTGCGTGTTATCTTGCAATGACACGTGCTATCTTGCAATGACATGTGTTATCTTGTAATGACACGTGTTGTCTTGCAAATGGTATGTGTTATCTTGCGATTAAGCGCGCATTTGGGCTATCTTGCAATGCCTCATGCTATTTTGCGATGCCATGCCAAACGCTATCTTACAATATCACGTATTATCTTGAGACATCAAGTACTATCTTGCAGCAACCAACAAAATCAATGCATGCTTTATTAATCTCCCTAAATTTTGAAGAATATTATCATTATATATAAACAATAATGATCAAATGCTCGTTCGTTTATTGAATAAAATACAAATATTTAACTTTCAGGTTCATAAAGTCAAATGATAATTTTTCTTTCTTATTCATCCAATATACATATTTGCAGCAAAATGCAATTCAGGGACATCAAATACCAGTAGAGAAACCTCAACCATATCAACAGTCATCAGATACATGGAGGAAACCTCAACCATATCAACAGTCATCAGATACATGGAGGAAACCTCAACCATATCGAGTTATCAAATACATGGAGGAAACCTCAACTATATCAAGCCATCAAATACAGAGAAATAAACCTCAACCATATCAATAGTCATCAAATACCAAAGAGAAATCTTAACCATATTTGGTAAAGATGGTCGAGTTTAGCTTCGACTGGGCTTCAGGAGCTCGCGGGAGCTTCGCTTGGGCGGACTACCTGGTCTTCAGCGTGATGCTGGTGGCGTCCTTGGCCATCGGGATCTTCTACGCCGTCAAGAGCCGCCATAAGGCCAACGATGAGTTCCTCCTGGGGAGTCGAAGCCTCACTTGCTTCCCGGTGTCCATGTCACTCCTCGCCTCCTACATCTCATCTATCCTCGTGCTTGGTATGTGCTCACAGGTCCCTCCTATCCCTCCTAATTGGTCATCATCTCATCCGATCTCATTGAGATCATGAATACTATCATGAAATCACAATAGTTTAATATTTAGGAGATAGTTTGAAGCAATGCGAAGGAATTATCCTCGCGCAGCGGGTAATGTGGGCATCTGGGGGTGACCTTTTGGACGAGAGTTCAATTCCTTCGCATTGCTCCGAAAGTTTCTCTGGAACTCTCACGAGTGTTGGGTAACATTGCTGCTGCTGCTCCTCCTGCAGGGGGACCGGCGGAGGCGTATTATCACGGCTTGGAGTGGTGGTACATCTGTGGAGGGCAGCTCGCTCTGGTGGCCGTCGCTCTCATATTTGTCCCGTTCTTCTATGAGTTCAGAATGACTTCGATGTATGAGGTAAATTCTTGTCCGTAGATTACGGTACATGCTTGTCCGTAGATTATGGTACATGCTTGTCCGTTGATTACGGTACATGCTTGTCCGTTGATTACGGTACATGCTTGTCCGTTGATTACGGTACATGCTTGTCCGTTGATTACGGTACATGCTTGTCCGTTGATTACGGTACATGCTTGTCCGTTGATTACGGTACATGCTTGTCCGTTGATTACGGTACATGCTTGCCCATAGATTAAGTTGCATCATTGCAGTAATATGAAGTGGTTGTGTGAGCTTAATCTAAGAATGCATATATGTTTTTAGTTATCTCTAATGGTTTTAAGGACGTCATAAATACGTATTTAGTTCAACAGTTACAGAATTACTTTTGTGGCACCATTTAATAACGTCCACAAACGTTTTGTGTTTGCTGGGATGAGTGAATAATACCATAAGCTTGGTCATCAGCTTGAAGCGTGGTTGTCCACAGTACTTGGAGCTGCGGTACGCCTCCCGCTGGGTGAGGAGCGTGGCTGGGGGCATGTTTGTGATCCAGATGTTGCTGTACCAAGCTGTGGTCATCTACGCCCCGGCCCTCGCCCTTGCCTCCGTCACCGACTTCCCCCTCTGGGTCTCCGTCATCACCGTCGGCGTCATAGCCTCCGTCTACACAGCTTTTGTGAGTTTAAAACCAAACTTCGAATTGGCATTTCAGTTTTGTCCAAGTTCGTGAACAAGAAATAATGGAAAGACTGTCTAAATTCTTGGTTTTAGCGAATAACTAAACATGGTTTTAGTAAAGGGGTGATACTGATTCGGTTTTAACATGGTATAAACCATGTTAACAAAATGGTTTATAACATGATTTTAGTGAAATAACACGGTTTTAGTGAAGACAAATCAGCAATGTTGAGCCATTCTAGTTTCAACAAGGTGATGGACGTCAGGTGAAACATAAATGTTTGGTCAGATTGCATTTTGAGTCTGATTCAAAGTCATTGACACAATATTACTTTCGAGAATAATATACAAACAAGAAAATCAGACGGAAGTGGGGCGAAACCGAACTGTCTGAGAGAGAGTACCTAACAGGCACGAAACAGTGAGTCACACTGAGGATAGAACTCAGACGGTCCCAGGAAAACAAAACAATATTATTCAAAGGTTCTTAATTATAACCTATAATATCTCTAATCAATGTCAATGACCTTTACAATGGGGGGTAATAGTTTACATGTCAATGCTGACAGACAACGACAAATTAATAAGACATATCAAGACAGACGACGACTATAATAATCAACGAAGTAAACTAACTTCAGAGTTGATCCTAGAAATGATTGCAAGAAATAAATGACACAAATATAAGGTGAGGAGAAAGGTAACATGATACACACCAGTATACACTGAAGGTTGGACCCGTCAATCGCAATTAGTTAAAAGATATTGACCTGATAGTTGATACAGTCACCACCCCTCACCCCAGAGGTAGCCACCACCCCTCACCCCAGAGGTAGCCACCACCCCTCACCCCAGAGGTAGCCACCACCCCTCACCCCAGAGGTAGCCACCACCCCTCACCCCACAGGTAGCCACCACCCCTCACCCCAGAGGTAGCCACCACGCCTCACCCCAGAGGTAGCCACCACCCCTCACCCCACAGGTAGCCACCACCCCTCACCCCACAGGTAGCCACCACCCCACACCCCAGAGGTAGCAACCACCCCTCACCCCACAGGTAGCCACCACCCCTCACCCCACAGGTAGCCACCACCCCTCACCCCAGAGGTAGCCACCACCCCTCACCCCAGAGGTAGCCACCACCCCTCACCCCAGAGGTAGCCACCACCCCTCACCCCACAGGTAGCCACCACCCCTCACTCCAAAGGTAGCCACCACCCCTCACCCCACAGGTAGCCACCACCCCTCACCCCACAGGTAGCCACCACCCCTCACCCCAGAGGTAGCCACCACCCCTCACCCCACAGGTAGCCACCACCCCACACCCCACAGGTAGCCACCACCCCACACCCCAGAGGTAGCCACCACCCCTCACCCCAGAGGTAGCCACCACCCCACACCCCAGAGGTAGCCACCACCCCTCACCCCACAGGTAGCCACCACCCCTCACCCCACAGGTAGCCACCACCCCTCACCCCACAGGTAGCCACCACCCCACACCCCAGAGGTAGCAACCACCCCACACCCCAGAGGTAGCCACCACCCCTCACCCCACAGGTAGCCACCACCCCTCACCCCAGAGGTAGCCACCACCCCTCACCCCAGAGGTAACCACCACCCCTCACCCCAGAGGTAGCCACCACCCCTCACCCCACAGGTAACCACCACCCCTCACCCCAGAGGTAGCCACCACCCCTCACCCCACAGGTAGCCACCACCCCTCACCCCAGAGGTAGCCACCACCCCTCACCCCACAGGCAGCCACCACCCCTCACCCCAGAGGTAGCCACCACCACACACCCCAGAGATACACAGCAACACCAGCACCTGAGAAGCACAACAACACGACACTCTACAGGACCTTCAGCACCCAAGGTGGCCAACACACGGGCCCACACGCGTCCTTTGTAAATGTCCTTTATACCTCTATATACATTCATGTATATTGATCCAATGGTGCATGGGTTGCAGGGCGGCATGAAGGCCGTGGTGTGGACGGACGTGCTGCAACTGTCAGTGTTGTTGATGGGACTGGTGGCCATCGTGGTGAAGGGCGTGGCAGACATGGGCAGCTTTCACCACGTCTGGCAGGTGGCCGTTGTCAACGCCCGCGCTGGGCCCTACACGTGAGTACATACTGAAGCTTCTCAGTGAAAGCCATTTGTACTGTGTCGTGTGACCAGACATGACTTGAGAATGGTCCAGGACGGACCGAAACGTCGTCGTCGTCCCTTCAACTTCTAGTGTGTGGTCTGGTCAACACAGTGCTGCTAGCAGAGTAAACCAATAATATTTGTCGTTTCCAGACACGACAATAGTAAACTTGTCACTGTAAACCAATAATATTTGTCGTTACTATACACACGAAAACCTGTAAACCAATAATATTTGTCGTTACTATACACACGAAAACCTGTAAACCTGTCACTGTAAACCAATAATATTTGTCGTTTCCAGACACGACAATAGTAAACTTGTCACTGTAAACCAATAATATTTGTCTTTTTCACGTAGTTAAGTGATGCTGGTCTGAGCATCCTCCTTGTCTATAGACTTAAGATGAAAATAAAGAGCAACAAGTATGCAACATGATATGTCCTCGCTGCTTGTATTGCAACAGGAGAACACGAACAAAACACAACATTAACTCTCAGAATTTAACGAGTGGCCACATTTTATAACCATAAACCTCCCACCACGTCATTACTGACCTGGGGCCAGATTCACGTAGCAGTTACGCAAGCACTTACGAACCTGGGGCCAGATTCACGAAGCAGTTACGCAGGTACTTACGAACGTGTCCATCTTTCCCCAATTTTTGACGGCTTTGGTTACATTTATTAAATAGTATACAAGCAGGAAAACTTGCCAATCAACTGTTGTTATTGTTATAAACAGCCTCCAGGTGCTTCGGAGCTCATTAACTGTTTAATAATTGTAAAGAAAGCCGCCAAAGATTGAGAAAAGATGTACAGGTTCGTAAGTGCTTGCGTAACTGCTTCGTGAATCAGGCCCTAGGTTTCGTAAGTGCTTGCGTAACGGCTTCGTGAATCTGGCCCCCAGGTTCGCATGTGCTTGTGTAACTGCTTCGTGAAATTCGTAAGTGCTTGCGTAACTGCTTCGTGTATCTGGCCCCTAGGTTCGCATGTGCTTGTGTAACTGCTTCGTGAATCTGGCCCCCAGGTTCGCATGTGCTTGTGTAACTGCTTCGTGAAATTCGTAAGTGCTTGCGTAACTGCTTCGTGAATCTGGCCCCCCTGACTGTCACTGTTGTCCCCACAGGTACGGATACGCGCCACTCCAGCGTCACACCGCCTCTAACATTGTAATTGGCAGTTTGGTGATGACTATGTCACAGTACGCCTGTTCTCAGACGGCTGTCCAGCGCTACGCCAGCATGAAGAACCTGACGCATGTTTATATGTGAGTTCAACTAGTAATATGCGTAGCTTGGCAAATCTGGATTAAATATCAATCAATACATAAATAGTATTCATGTTCGATTGCAGACGAGGAGTCACAATAATGTGGCTAAAGTATGTTGACCAGACCACACACTAGAAGTTAAAGGGACGACGACGTTTCGGTCCGTCCTGGACCATTCTCAAGTCGAATAAATCGACTAGAAAATGGTCCAGGACGGACCGAAACGTCGTCGTCCCTTCATCTTCAAGTGTGCGGTCTGGTCAACATACTTTATGTTCGATTAATCCAGGCTTTCAAACTCCCCTGTTTATGGATGATAAACGCTGTCACGCGACTCACAACTTTTCTCTAACTGCTTCTCTGGCGACCTCTGTTCGCAGCCTGTCCTCGTATAGAAAGATCCAAGCTCGTTAATCCAGCCGCCAAACCCCCTGTTTATGAGTGAAAAGCGGTTTACACACACACTCACAACTGATGACGTCCGAACACTTCCGGAACAAGTGCTTCGCTCACGTCTTCTGTTCGAACCACAATTCTATAAATGCTTCACCCACGTATTTCAAATACAAATAATCGCTTACAGAACTTAAACAATTACGTTAAAATTAATTGAAAATTAATTAAAATTGTTTAAATTTTAAAATTTAATTTTAAAATTTAAACAATTTTAAATTAAAATTAATTGAAAATTAAAATTAAACCTAATCTACGCCTAACTATATATATATAATTTTATGTAAAATAATATTAATTTATATATGAGAACAGACCAATGTTTAATACACAGTATGTTAAAATTGATGAATGCATCTGGGGAGGATGGCCGCTGCTTTAACCAGCCTAGTGTGAGGACAGGTTGCTGTTCGAATCTCAACTCTGTAACTCTTTCACCTACGTGCTTCAAAAACAAATTATTGCCAACAGACTCTAAACACCTAAACCCAACCTTTACCTAACTCTGCATAACACTTCAATATATAACACAATTGATTTATATATATAAACAAACCAATTTTAATACACTACGTTAAAATTGATGAATACCTCTGTATGGCTGGAATGTTAAAATTGATGAATACCTCTGTATGGCTGGAATGTTAAAACTGATGAATACCTCTGTATGGCTGGAATGTTAAAACTGATGAATACCTCTGTATGGCTGGAATGTTAAAATTGATGAATACCTCTGTATGGCTGGAATGTTAAAATTGATGAATACCTCTGTATGGCTGGAATGTTAAAATTGATGAATACCTCTGTATGACTGGAATGTTAAAATTGATGAATACCTCTGTATGGCTGGAATGTTAAAATTGATGAATACCTCTGTATGGCTGGAATGTTAAAATTGATGAATACCTCTGTATGGCTGGAATGTTAAAATTGATGAATACCTCTGTATGGCTGGAATGTTAAAATTGATGAATACCTCTGTATGGCTGGAATGTTAAAATTGATGAATACCTCTGTATGGCTGGAATGTTAAAATTGATGAATACCTCTGTATGGCTGGAATGTTAAAATTGATGAATACCTCTGTATGGCTGGAATGTTAAAATTGATGAATACCTCTGTATGGCTGGAATGTTAAAATTGATGAATACCTCTGTATGGCTGGAATGTTAAAATTGATGAATACCTCTGTATGGCTGGAATGTTAAAATTGATGAATACCTCTGTATGGCTGGAATGTTAAAATTGATGAATACCTCTGTATGGCTGGAATGTTAAAATTGATGAATACCTCTGTATGGCTGGAATGTTAAAATTGATGAATACCTCTGTATGGCTGGAATGTTAAAATTGATGAATACCTCTGTATGGCTGGAATGTTAAAATTGATGAATACCGCTGTATGGCTGGAATGTTAAAATTGATGAATACCTCTGTATGGCTGGAATGTTAAAATTAATGAATACCTCTGTATGGCTGGAATGTTAAAATTGATGAATACCTCTGTATGGCTGGAATGTTAAAATTGATGAATACCTCTGTATGGCTGGAATGTTAAAATTGATGAATACCTCTGTATGGCTGGAATGTTAAAATTGATGAATACCTCTGTATGGCTGGAATGTTAAAATTGATGAATACCTCTGTATGGCTGGAATGTTAAAATTGATGAATACCTCTGTATGGCTGGAATGTTAAAATTGATGAATACCTCTGTATGGCTGGAATGTTAAAATTGATGAATACCTCTGTATGGCTGGAACGTTAAAATTGATGAATACCTCTGTATGGCTGGAATGTTAAAATTGATGAATACCTCTGTATGGCTGGAATGTTAAAATTGATGAATACCTCTGTATGGCTGGAATGTTAAAATTGATGAATACCTCTGTATGGCTGGAACGTTAAAATTGATGAATACCTCTGTATGGCTGGAATGTTAAAACTGATGAATACCTCTGTATGGCTGGAATGTTAAAACTGATGAATACCTCTGTATGGCTGGAATGTTAAAATTGATGAATACCTCTGTATGGCTGGAATGAACATATTTGAGGACGGTTGACCAACATATAATGATCAACGTAGCCTTAAACCCCAACCTAACCTACCCTAGGTCAAGCTATTGACAAAACTATAACACCCACTAATATTGAACAAATCCACAAGGGCAGTGACGAGGGATTCGAACCTACGTCCGAGAGCATCCCAGACGCTGCCTTAATCGACTGAGCTACGACAGGGTAAAAAGAATTGCAACCAGAAGTTCTACTGACCCCAGTAATAATCCCACTAATTTTAATTTATATTAAAGAAAATATAGTTGTCGAGACCGAGTGAAAGACAATATTTCGGACATGGAAGAAAACCCATATATGTGGTGAGTTCAGATTTACTAACAATAGGCACAACTCGTCATGATTTCAAATGTTCTGTTTGTATCTTAAATGTTCTGTTTGTATCTTAAATGTTATGTTTGTATCTTAAATGTTCTGTTTGTATCTTAAATGTTCTGTTTGTATCTTAAATGTTCTGTTTGTATCTTAAATGTTCTGTTTGTATCTTAAATGTTCTGTTTGTATCTTAAATGTTCTGTTTGTATCTTAAATGTTCTGTTTGTATCTTAAATGTTCTGTTTGTATCTTAAATGTTCTGTTTGTATCTTAAATGTTCTGTTTGTATCTTGAAAGTTCTGTTTGTTTACGTTTTCAGGGCCATCTTCCTGGTGATTCCTCTCTACGTCATGCTCATCTCCCTCGCACTGATAGTGGGTAAGCAGCAAGTTACGAGCAGAGATCAGTATTTGAGTGAGAAGTGTATAGCTGTGGCAGGACAGACAGACAAAAAGGCTTCATTTGTATCAATTTTAGACAAATTTGATACAGGAAGTATGTTGTTGTTCAGCTGTTCCCCCTGTTCAGCTACTCGGAACAAGAAGTTCCAAGTAGCACGGGCTATGGTGAGCCCGTAGTAGACTTTTTACAGGAAGTAGCCATTTGTGCTTGAAAGAAGACTAACATACTATTACAATATAAGCGGGTGTTTATGTAAGAAACAAAATATCTTGATCAGTAAGTGAGATCATCATTCTGCCATTAAAAACAATATTATAGCAAGATTGGAATGCAAGATTGTAAATACCTCATTGTCGTTACCTTCAAGACAAAGTTATCCAAGGCTAATGGTCGTTTATATTCAAGAGTTCCGTGTGTTGGTGCTTGAATCAGAATCGTGGTATTTCAGGTTTGGTGATATTCGCGACGTACGAGGGATGTGACCCCCTGGCGGCGGGTCTCATTACTAAGAAGGACCAGATCCTTCCCTTCTACGTCATGGACCGGCTGAGCTCAGCTCCTGGGCTCCCGGGGCTCTTCGTCGCCTGCATCTTCTCCGGCGCTCTCAGGTGGGTTACAACTGATTCCCTCTGTGTTGCAGCTTCACTAGAGGCTTAGTGGTGCTCATGTGGGTGTGGCGAGCCGCGTGGGGTTCAGTATTGTCTTATTAATACATCACATTCTCGTGATTCCATTGTGCTCGGCAAATCTATAACACGAACACATCTTTGTATTCCATCCGGATTCTTCTTCATCTTGATTTCCTGACCTCTGACCTCACTCCTTCAGCACCATCTCCTCCGGGGTCAACTCACAAGGGGCCGTGACCTGGGAGGACGTCTTCGCTAAAATACCGAGATTCGCTAAGCTTCCGAAGACCACTCAAGCCTGGCTCACCAAGCTGTTGGGTAAGGCAACGACCAATAATCGTATTCATTATTATAAGTGCTTTTATCCGCGATATTGCGTCGACTTTTGTCTCCCTGCACAACAGATCGACTTCATATGGTGCGTCATGCAGATCGGCGTTCAATCCCCGACCGTACAAGTGGTTGGGCACCATTTCTTTTTCCCCGTCCCATCACAAAACGTTATCCTGACCCATTTTAAGTGCTATTTAGTCGTAATGGCTTGGCGCTCTTCCCTGATAATTGCCTCCCTCCCTCCTCCACCTCTTCCACCTCTTCTTCTCCTGTTCCGTCCAAGTGTTGAAGCTTATTACCTACGTTTACCTGGATCATTAATTAAGAAGTCTACCTTATAACTAACCTTAACTCATCTTTTAATTAGCCAGTGTTCAGGTTTAAGGTAAAGTCTCCTTTTACAAATGTGAGTCACAACTGTCAGTGTACGAACACCGAGCACATCCCTCAGTGTACGAACACCGAGGTGACTCATTCCCTGAACCCTGGGTTAGGTAAAGGATTTAAAGCCTCTAGCAACCCTTCTAGGAGTAACTTTCTATGCAGGCGATGAGTCACAATAACGTGGCTAAAGAATGTTGACCAGACCACACACTAGAAGTTGAAGGGACGACGACGTTTCGGTCCGTCCTGGACCATTCTCAAGTCGACAATCGACTTGAGAATGGTCCAGGATGGACCGAAACGTCGTCATCCCTTCAACTTCTAGAGTAACTTTCTAGTTTCCTTAACCCTTAAACTGCGCAATACATACATGTATGTAGGAAGTAACTGTCACGAAATTGCGCAATACATACATATATGTATGAGGGGTCTCGCGCACGATTTTAAGGACTGAACAGATTACAATACAAGACTGATCTCTTAGGAGTATATGCATTGAGACGAAGCACACACACCTTTCATTGTATTCTGTATACTTGTGTATACTTGTGTATACTCTGGTCTGGTGTTGATATTGACCTGTGTCTTACCTCTTACCTGTTTTCCAAGAACACATCAGACCTGTCAATAGCGAAAAGGATAATTCAGGGCTAGAATTCATGAGACACGTAAGGACTAATTTAAGAAACCTTTACATCTTTCCTCAATCATAGCGTCTTTGTTTACATTTATTAAATAGTTTACGAGCTCCGAGGCGCCAAGAAGATTGTCGACGACAATAATATGTTTGGGTCGAGCTCGCAGTGATTCGCAGCTCGTAAACTGATAAATGCAGACTTAGCCGCCTTGACCTCGGCAAAGATATACAGGTTTCGCACGGGAATACTTAGATTCATGATGAATCACCCCCCCCCTACCCCATCCCACCACATATCATTTGTGTAAACAGAGGCCGGAGTTAGGAAAAGTTACTTCGTCACCCAGCGAGGGACGAAGTAATTCGTTGGGTGACTTTCTAAGTAACTTTTGTGGGTGACTTTCTAAGTAACTTTTGTGGGTGACTCGAAGTAACTTTCCTCACTGACTTTACTGTACACCTGTTCTTTTTCGACCTCTGTTGGTGTAATATATTAAAACACGGCCGGATACTTGTCACTGTACACAGAGCCGGATGTTTAGCAACTTTTTACCTCTTCTTAAAGTCATGATTCATTATGATACAGGTGTCGAGCCGTTTGGGGACGCGGTGCAAACTTGTCTCAGAGGTTTTTTACGAGTGTGTTAATTCCTCGTTGTGAGAACAGTTATGACTATTAGAGAAACTTGTGTACATTTTTTGAATTAGCTGAGGCATGCGCTGTTGGCAGGTGTGGGAGTGTCAGGAGAGACTGACAGGTGTGGTAGTAACGAAGGAGACAGACAGGTGGATAAGTAACAGGAGTGACTGATACAGATTTGATAGTAACGGCTGAGGGGGTGATACAGTAATAGGTTTGGAAGTAACAGGGGAGACTGATACAGATTTGATAGTAACGGCTGAGGGGTGATACAGTAATAGGTTTGGAAGTAACAGGGGAGACTGATACAGATTTGATAGTAACGGCTGAGGGGGTGATACAGTAATAGGTTTGGAAGTAACAGGGGAGACTGATACAGATTTGATAGTAACGGCTGAGGGGTGATACAGTAATAGGTTTGGAAGTAACAGGGGAGACTGATACAGTAACAGATGTAGAAATAACAGTAGATACAGCAACAGGTGCGGTAGTAACAGGTGCGGGTGACACTGTCGGGTAAACAGTTGCCTGATGGCAACACCACCACGACACTCGAGCGACGGGAACCAACACTGAGGGGATTACATGGGGATTACAACTCTTCATGTAATCGCCACCGCATCAAACGTCTTATAAGATCCTTTGGTGTTGACTCAAGAATCAATCAGCTGTCTTTATTGCAACATTTGCAACTGTATTGCACTTCAACCCTCAGCTGAAGAGCAGTGTTTCAAGCGTAGGTTAGATATATATATATGAATGAGTTTGGGTGCATACAAATAGAAGCTGCCTCATATGCCTCATTGAAGACTTTCGGCGTCGTGGAGAGGGGGGGACCTGCTGCATGGGTAACAGCTTCTCTCCCGTATCAACCTACCCTGGCTTTTCGCCCAGGAGAGGAGGGAGAGGTCCTGCTGCATGGGTAACAGCTTCTCTCCCGTATCAACCTACCCTGGCTTATCGCCCTGGAGAGGAGGGAGAGGTCCTGTTACATGGGTAACAGCTTCTCCCCCGTATCAACCTACCCTGGCTTTTCGCCCTGGAGAGGGGGGAGAGGTCCTGCTGCATGGGTAACAGCTTCTCCCACGTATCAACCTACCCTGGCTTTGCGCCCTGGAGAGGCCACTCCAGACCGACAACCAGAGCGCAACTCCATGTAGTTTCCTGTGACTGATGGATGACTACTACATATAGGTCAATAGGATTTCTGCAGTTTCTGTTATTTTTATGTTCTTCTGTATCCTCAGCTCTGGGTTATGGGTTCCTGGCGGTGGGTCTGGCCTTCCTGGCGGGGAACTTGGGAGGAGTTCTTCAGGCAGCCATCGCTGTCATATCCTCCGTGGCTGGACCTCTGCTGGCGGTGTTCCTCATGGCTCTGTTTATGCCCTTCACTAATTCTAAGGTATGGCACCTGAGGAACACATGTCCCGTCTCTAAATTCTAAGGTATGGCACCTGACGAGCACATTACTCGTCTCTAAATTCTGAAGTTAGAGAACGGTCTAACATACTGCCCGTCTTCTAAGAACGCTGATTAATCCCTGTATTATCGTTTGGTGTACTGTGATTAAAGCGATGCACTTGGGAGATCCGGTGGCTTTTCAACGGGATTTATTCACAAACGTCTTCTGTTATTTAGTGGAGATTATATTCTGTAATCTCTGCTAAATAGATTAATTTAATCTCTACATAGATCAATTTCCACATAGATTAATTTCCACATAGATTGCATCACTGATCTCTGCGTAGATTACAGAATGTAAAACAGTTTTTGTTCCTGAGCAGAAAATTTTATTTTCTGGGTGCTTATGATTTCAAAGCTAAGAAAATGGCTGTTATTCTCCTCTAAACTATGCTTTGACGCCTGCCTCAAACTGCTTAGGGAAGAGATCTTGAAAGTACTTAAAGGCTGCCGACTCCTTATCTAGAGCTGTGAGACGTTGTTAAGTCGGCAGTCTTCAGTCACCTTTCAGATCTGTCTCAGACACTAAGCTGTCTGAGACAGAGGTCAAAGCATAGTTTGGAGGAGATAAACAGCCATTTTCTATGCTTTGGAGGCCTCTGCAATCTGAAACTAACACTGCCACGAAAATATGTTGTACAGTGATATCATACAGTCTGTGTTGTTAGTTGTTTACAGTCAGATTTGCCTCACTTTGTCCCAAGTGTTGGTAGGTGTCTACCTGTGTCTACCTTCCCTCACTGTGCCCCATGTGTTGGTAGGTGTCTACCTGTGTCTACCTTCCCTCACTGTGCCCCATGTGTTGGTAGGTGTCTACCTGTGTCTACCTTCCCTCACTGTGCCCCATGTGTTGGTAGGTGTCTACCCGTCTACCTTCCCTCACTGTGCCCCATGTGTTGGTAGGTATCTACCCGTCTACCTTCCCTCACTGTGCCCCATGTGTTGGTAGGTATCTACCTGTGTCTACCTTCCCTCACTGTGCCCCATGTGTTGGTAGGTATCTACCTGTGTCTACCTTCCCTCACTGTGCTCCATGTGTTGGTAGGTATCTACCTGTGTCTACATTCCCTCACTGTGCTCCATGTGTTGGTAGGTATCTACCTGTGTCTACATTCCCTCACTGTGCTCCATGTGTTGGTAGGTATCTACCTGTGTCTACATTCCCTCACTGTGCTCCATGTGTTGGTAGGTATCTACCTGTGTCTACATTCCCTCACTGTGCTCCATGTGTTGGTAGGTATCTACCTGTGTCTACATTCCCTCACTGTGCCCCATGTGTTGGTAGGTGTCTACCCGTCTACCTTCCCTCACTGTGCCCCATGTGTTGGTAGGTATCTACCTGTGTCTACCTTCCCCCACTGTGCTCCATGTGTTGGTAGGTATCTACCTGTGTCTACATTCCCTCACTGTGCTCCATGTGTTGGTAGGTGTCTACCTGTGTCTACCTTCCCTCACTGTGCCCCATGTGTTGGTAGGTGTCTACCCGTCTACCTTCCCTCACTGTGCCCCATGTGTTGGTAGGTATCTACCTGTGTCTACCTTCCCTCACTGTGCTCCATGTGTTGGTAGGTATCTACCTGTGTCTACCTTGCCTCACTGTGCTCCATGTGTTGGTAGGTATCTACCTGTGTCTACCTTCCCTCACTGTGCCCCATGTGTTGGTAGGTATCTACCTGTGTCTACCTTCCCTCACTGTGCTCCATGTGTTGGTAGGTATCTACCTGTGTCTACCTTCCCTCACTGTGCTCCATGTGTTGGTAGGTATCTACCTGTGTCTACCTTCCCTCACTGTGCCCCATGTGTTGGTAGGTATCTACCTGTGTCTACCTTCCCTCACTGTGCCTCCATATGTTGGTAGGTATCTACCTGTGTCTACCTTGCCTCACTGTGCTCCATGTGTTGGTAGGTATCTACCTGTGTCTACCTTGCCTCACTGTGCCCCATGTGTTGGCAGGGAGCCTGCACGGCGCTGATCGTGGGTACCGGGGTAGCGTTGGGCTTCAGCTTCGGGGCCACGGCCATTGGTCTCCAGCCGGAGCTGCTGCCCACCTCCACTGACGCCTGTCCGGCCAACCTCACCATCCCTCCACCCAAGGACACTATCCCACTCAGGTACTGTGACTAAGCTTAACGATCTACGGTAACGCCTCCACTAATCAGGTATGCTGTTCGATTCCCCCAATGTCCCAAGTGATTGGTCGTCGTTCCTATCTCCCATCCTATCTTGTCTTCATATGCCAGCTCCTATCCTATCTTTATATCCTAGGTCGTAGGATACAGCTCCTATCCTGTCCTCATGTTCTAGCTTCTATCCTGTCGTCACATCCCAGCTCCTGTCCTTTCCTCATATCCCAGCTCCTGTCCTGTCCTCATGTCCCAGCATCTATCCTGTCCTCATATGCCAGCTCCTGTCCTGTCCTCATATCCCAGCTCCTGTCCTGTCCTCATATCCCAGCTCCTGTCCTGTCCTCATATCCCAGCTCCTGTCCTGTCCTCATATCCCAGCTCCTGTCCTGTCCTCATGTCCCAGCTCCTGTCCTGTCCTCATGTCCCAGCACCTATCCTGTCCTCATATCCCAGCTGCTGTCCTGTCCTCATATCCCAGCTCCTGTCCTGTCCCCATATCTCAGCTCCTGTTCTGTCCTCATATCCCAGCTCCTGTCCTGTCCTCATATCCCAGCTCCTGTCCTGTCCTCATGTCCCAGCTCCTGTCCTGTCCTCATGTCCCAGCTCCTGTCCTGTCCTCATATCCCAGCTCCTGTCCTGTCCTCATATCCCAGCTCCTGTCCTGTCCTCATATCACTTCCAGGTACTCTACGGTTATAGTAGCTTAGTGCTTTCTCATAATTTCCTTTACTTCCTTCTCATATTTTCCAGTTTCTACACACCTATTTAATACAGCTGGAGGTCGTAGAGATTTATGATATATTCACGTGCAAAAACTTCCCCACCACACTGTACCGTCCCTATCCCTGTTGTTGACGCATTGTGATGTTCACCATTCATACTGAACCACGCTGTAACCTGCTGTACTCTCCCTATCACTCTCGTTAATGCATAATGATGTTTACCAGTCATTCTGTACCCTGCTGTATCACACACGGTAAGGTCCCCAGCACTCTCGTTCTGCGTTTTTCAACCTTTGTGCCGTTAAAATAATTCCGGGTCGCACTATGGATAAACAGAAATGGATTTCACTGTCAATTGAAAGGAGACGACTTCCGTCTTTGCTCTTAATGCTGGTTAAATGGGAAAAATTAAACACAACAATGACTCAAAGGTACATTTGAATATGATTAAAATTAGCGTATTTATTAATTATCTCTTACGTGACCCGTAGTTATCTTCGCGGGCCTGGACGAGAAAAAACACGGCTCTAGTTGAAACACACCCTAATCATACTGTGCCATGTGCACTATAGACATTGCAGATCACAGTCCGTCATTGTACGTACCATTGTTGCAGAGTGTCGGACCTGCAGTACCCGGAGAGGGTGCTTGGCCTCTCCTACACGCAGCTGGGGCCGCTGGGACTACTGGTGGGGCTCGTGACGGGCGTCCTCGTCAGCGTCGCCACAGGTCTGTCACTGCTCTCACCACCCTCCAGCCCCCTCCTGCACAACCCCCCTACCCCCACTATCCACTCCTATCCCCTCTCCTCCCTACCTACTAACCTCTTCCTCCCCCACCACCATCTCATCCCCAACCTCCACCCCCAGACTCCCTCCTCCAGTTGTGTGTCAAGGGATCATATGGATAACAATGCTCGCTGTAACTGACCAAAGTTAACCTACAAATAACCTCACCGAACCACTTAACCACGTTTACGGGCTATTCATGCCCGTGCCACCTCTTGGGTGGTTTAATCTTTATTAATCAATCAATCAATCACTTAAGCATAGTTACAGCCCCCGCTCCTGTGCCAAGTAAGTCCACTACGGGATCACCATAGCCCGTGCTACTTGCAACTTTTTGTTCCCAGTTGCTGAATCTTAAACAACAACAACCACTTTAGCTTAAATGTGCCCCAAAATCCTTAACTTAGGCCTTAATAATGCCCATTATAAGCAGTTAATATCAAGATTAGATCCACCTGTCTAAGGCACACCTTAATAAATGAATTGATGTCGACAGGTATGTCTGGAGGGCGACGCCTGGAGAGGTCCTTGGTTCATCCCTGGGTGTGGTGGGCCGTGCCTGACCCCGACGACCTTACTGCTAAGGTCAAAGCTCTTTCCTATGATAACAAGATGTCATCCAATTTTTGACAGCGAGAGCTTCGCTTGATTGGAATTAAATAGAAAGCCAAAGTGAAGGGGATGAGTCACAATAACGTGGCTGAAGTATGTTGACCAGACCACACACTAGAAGTTGAAGGGACGACGACGTTTCGGTCCGTCTTGGACCATTCTCAAGTCGATTGCCCGGACGACAATCGACTTGAGAATGGTCCAGGACGGACCGAAGCGTCGTCGTCCCTTCAACTTCTAGTGTGTGGTCTGGTCAAGAAAGCCGAAGTGTTTCGTTATATTATTAGTGGGTTTGAAGGGTGATTGGTGTAAATGTAGGCAAAATATAATCAGTTTTAGCGATATATTCATTTAGGTTCAGAAGTTGTAGTCGTAAGTGATTTATAGAAATCTTTGTTTAGAGTCATAGCGTCGGGGATTGATGAGAGGGGATAGGGAATTATTGTAAAAATTTGTAATTTAATTGTTATAGCCGTTTACATTTACGCCTTACTGTATTAAGACCATCTCTAAAACAAATTTATATCCAATAAAAAGGCCAATAATTATCCAACATCTTTAAAAAAAAAAAAACATTAAGGGAATGTATATACACCGAAAAGTGGTTTACCAAGTTTCACGGTGTATATATATATAATATACACACTATACAAAATTGTGTATTCATTTTTAATTTATTGGGTACAAAATCTATATTTTGTTCATTGTACCCACCGTTGCTATAGCTGCTATTAGCAGGCGAGGAGTCACAATAACGTGGCTGAAGAATGTTGACCAGACCACACACTAGAAGGTGAAGGGACGACCACGTTTCGGTCCGTCCTGGACCATTCTCACAATCAACTTGAAAATGGTCCAGGACGGACCGAAACGTCGTCGTCCCTTCACCTTCTAGTGTGTGGTCTGGTCAACATTCTCTAGCTGCTATTATTTTTGGAGGACATTCTTGACCTCTGTCAACAGTCAATAGACTCCAGCCGTTGGTACTTTACTACCTGTCCATCTTGCCTAAATTATGGAAGTTTAAATTGTATTTATCAATCGGCGTTCAATCCCCGACCGTCCAAGTGGTTGGGCACCATTCCTACCCCCCGTCCCATCCCAAATCCTTATCCTGATCCCTTCCATTATAGTCATAATGGTTTGGCGCTTTCCCTTGATAGTTCAATTCAATTCTGACTGTGAGCCGCGTAGCACCCTAAAACTCAAACTGTAATAAATGCCGACTAAATCGCCATAATTGAGGTAAGATGTACTGATTTCGTAAATGGAAACTGAAATGAATGACGGATCCTGGTCCAGGCCTGTTGGGCTCAAGACCTATCAACCTCTGGACAGTTAAGGTCACCACAACACCTTACTGACCAATCAACATGTATACTACAATCTTTAATAGTCCAGGACTAAACGAATTCACTGTATACACCGAGATATAATACACAATGTGTATACATATTCCGTCTCTTCCGTGACGACCTTCTAATCATACGGTACAGACCAAACAGATTACGCAATTGAGCAGTTCACTGAAGAGGTCATTATCAAGAGAAAGCGCCAAGCTACTTCGATTATATAGCACTTGGAAGGGGTTGGGTTAAGGATTTGGGATGGGACGGAGGGGATAGGAATGGTGCCCTAACCACTTGGACGATCGGGGATTGAACTCCGACCTGCATGATCCGAGACCCCTCGCTCTACCATCCAGTCAAATGGGAGTGAATGATCTATATCTGCTATGCTTGTTACAGACAGGTTAGTGTGGATATAGACGGTGAGATATATCTCTCTTCTCTGTATATACACAGAAAGTTAACTATAGACCTCGACCATGCTCAGAACTAAAGTATATTTGCTGGTTGTGTTGTGGTGGCCTTAATAACCCTCCAGAGATCATTGGCCCCCAACACCAAACCCAAGCCAGAGTCATCCGTTTGAAATTGAAATTGAAACTGAAATAAGTTTATTGAGGTAAAATAAACACAGAGGGATGAGGTAGCTCAAGCTATTCTCACCCCGTTAAGTACATCGTGTTAATACATATATAGACACACATCACAAACAATAAACATATTGCCGAACATTCTGAGAGATAAACATATACAATTCCTTCAACCGTTTGTCTCCTAATAAGAGACCAAATAATCCTTTCCTTGGACCTCATACCCTGAAAGACGCAGGAGTCCGGACGATGAGAAGGGGAACAAATCTACAAGGGCCGTGACGAGTGTTCGAACCTACGTCCGAGAGCATCCCAGACGCTGCCTTAATCGACTGCGCTACGACAGTCGATTAAGGCAGCGTCTGGGATACTCTCGGACGTAGATTCGAGCCCTCATCACGGCCCTTGTGGATTTTGTTCATTTGATGCATCACGCTATTGTGATTTGTGTGTGTAATGAGACTTGGACGCGATAAGAATGAACTAAACTACATGAAACATTATTTTAAAATAAGCTGTACAAAATATTACAGAACTAGTTGGTTCTCAGCCTCTTAAGATATTAAGTAGGACAGTGAGAGAGTAATCGTGAATAGCAAGAGACGCGACTCTTAATCGGTGTCAGGTCAATGGTCTTCAAGATTTGACCTTTGTCTGTGGTTGAATAACTAAGTGAATAAATAAGCGTTTTTTTTTCCTTAGGGGGATGAATAAGCATAAAGTTATACAAGATAGTTTACAGAGACTTACGTCCTCGTACGGTGAAAATAGCTGCCGGCGTTATTTTTACGGTACTGTGAATGGAAAGTTGTGTAATAGCCCCAATAATTGTAGAGTCATAGCGCTACATGATGGAGGACCTGCTGCATGGGTAACAGCTTCTCCGTATCAACCTACCCTGGCTTTGCGCCCTGGAGAGGCCACTCCAGACCGACAACCAGAGCGCAACTCCATAGTCTCCTGAGACTGATGGATGCCTACTACTATTACTACTACTACACAGCTCAACAATGTTGACCAAGGCATGAAGCTTTACTTCAATAAGCTTCTCTCCAGCCAGTGGAGAGAGTGGCAAGAAAAAAAATCACATACGCATATTATTACTTAAGTTAACTGGCTATGTTCAGTTTATAGTCTGCTTCACCAACCATTAAACACAAAGAGCAGTATTTACACTTCAATGTGAATATGGGGGGAAACAGGAGTCAAGTAAAAAAAGCCAATTAAAAATGAAGTTAAGCAATAAAACACAAATTTAACACTTGCAATACAAGTAACTTTGCACAAACCATTTAAAAGACAAAATAAAACAAATACCTAAAATATTAATTTCAACTCAATAACTCAAACACTAACTATAAAATAGCATAAAGTGCTACAATATATATATATATATCATTCAATCCCACAACTCTTATAGAACCGCCATTGGTATTTACCACGGGAGACATCTCCCGTCGCGCAGGGTGCAGTCGCACCTCTACAGATCTCCAGTATCATCTTTTGATACTGGTAATGGCTCAAATGGGCCACCACTTACGGGCTATTCATGCCCGTGCCACCTTTTGGGTGGCTTAATCTGCATCAATCAATCAATCGGTATTTACCAATACATCAAAGAGACTTCTCTTCCCAGCCGAACATCTTGAGTTGAGTGCCTCAGACCGGCTCGCTTCTGTCTGACAATGACTAGTTTAACCCCCTGTGTGATGGGCATGGGACGCACTACCTTATCGGTGGTTACGTTGTCTGTCAGCGCGAGGGGTAGTTGCTGGAACTCCCCAAACACACGAAAATACACTGTTGTGTTGCTCAATATACTATACATTGGATTATTCAATGCACACCTGGAAAATTTACACAAATTCCTGAATAGCTGTAGAGTTATCGATGACTGTTTTCAGACGAAGATAAGGGTCGGAGCCAGATTCTCGAAACAGTTACGCAAGCACTTACGAACCTGTACATCTTTTCTCAATCTTTGGTGGCCTTGTTTACAATTATTAAACAGTTAATGAGCTCCGAAACACCAGGAGGCTGTTAATAACAATAACAACAGTTGATTGGCAAGTTTTCATGCCTGTAAACTGTTTAATATATGTAACCAAAGCCGTCAAGGATTGAGGAAAGATGTACACGTTCGTAAATACCTGCGTAACTGCTTCGTGAATCTGGCTCCAGGACTTGATCGAGGTCCAGGACTTGATGAAGGTCCAGGACGGACTGTAATGTCATATCGCTATCTCGTGTATGGGTTGGGATACTAATGTCCAGCCAGGTTGTTATGGCTTGTTCTCTGCAACCATATTTTATAAAGCACCATACTGAGTAAAATAAATCAATAAACTAATAAAATATAATAAAAATAATTCAAAGTATTTTCGCGGGAGCAATAAAAACATTTGGACTGTATCTTACAATGACCTTTAGCACTGCTGTTGTTGTTGTTTTAGGTTCAGCTACTCGGAACAAAAAGATCCAAGTAGCACGGGCTATGGCGAGCCCGTCGTGGATTTACCTGGCACAGGAGCGGGGCTGTAACTCGTTTAGCACTGCGTCGTGACCTTGTTCTCGTAGGCCTGGGCTTCGGTTCTGGCAGCGACGTCTTCTGGATGAGGTAAGGTCCACCTCACCCAAGGATGAACCAGCTTCCTATCCACACGTCGCCCTTCGGACATACCTGAAGGAAGACATCTGCTTGTGAGAGAGAGACACAAAGACACCCTAACTCACAGACCCTCCGGCATACACTGACTCTCACGGACCCTCTGGTATACACTGACTTTCACGGACCCTCCGGTACACACTAACTCTCACGGACCCTCCGGTACACACTGACCCTCACGGACCCTCCGGTACACACTGACTCTCACGGACCCTCCGGTACACACTGACTCTCACGGACCCTCCGGTACACACTAACTCTCACGGACTCTCTGGTACACACTAACTCTCACGGACCCTCCGGTACACAATAACTCTCACGGACCCTCCGGTACACACTAACTCTCACGGACCCTCTGGTACACACTAACTCTCACGGACCCTCCGGTACACACTAACTCTCACGGACCCTCCGGTACACACTAACTCTCACGGACCCTCTGGTACACACTAACTCTCACGGACCCTCGGGTGCACATTAACTCTCACGGACCCTCCGGTACACACTAACTCTCACGGACCCTCCGGTACACACTAACTCTCACGGACCCTCCGGTACACACTAACTCTCACGACCCTCTGGTACACCCTGACTCTCACGGACCCTCCGGTACACACTGACTCTCACGGACCCTCCGGTACACACTAACTCTCACGGACCCTCCGGTACACACTGACTCTCATGGACCCTCCGGTACACACTAACTCTCACGGACCCTCCGGTACACACTGACTCTCACAGACCCTCCGGTACACACTAATTCTCACGGACCCTCTGGTACACCCTAACTCTCACAGACATAACCCACTCTCCTAAAAGTATAGTACTAATTGAAGCTGTTTGGTTGAACGCACGAAAATGGACTGTTGCTGTAAAGAATGTTCACATTTTGTACCGTTTTCTGTTCGTGGGTCCTCTGGTAGGTTAGGATAAGGCACTTTAGCATGACATTTTCTCGACTGGGAACGCTTGCGAGAACAAGCGGGAGGATTAGAGATGAAAAAGTGAAGAGGCATGAGGTAATGAGAGCAGGTACGGACCTGTAGCGAGGCTGACGAGGACGCCTGATACGAGCCCCACCAGCAGTCCCAGTGGCCCCAGCTGCGTGTAGGAGAGGCCCAGCACTCGCTCCGGGTACTGCAGCTCCGACACTCTGTAACGGAAAAGAATACAGAGCAGTGATATCACTCAACCCACGAGCTGCAGGGAATATAGTCTGCACATAAACTTGCAATATATATACATAAAAGACATCCAACTATTCCCGCTGTCAGTACTCAAAATTCTCAACTCTGCCACTATACCTGACGACCGAGGTGTTTGAAGGCAGAGGAAGAGAGAGGTCGACCGGACAGTCATCAGTGGAGGTAGGCAGCATCTCTGGTTCAATCCCAATAGCAGTACCGCCGAAGCTGAAGCCCAAGGCCACCCCCGTCCCCACCAGCAGTGCCGTACACGCCCCCTGGCAGTGAATTGTACAGTCAAACGCTTCAGAGTGAGGGAAGACGGACCGCAATGTTAATTGCTATTAAAGTGCAGGAGAGGGAGTAGCTCTGCGGTTTGTTTACCTCGCTATACAATCTCTCTGTATAAAGAAATCATATTAACTTGATGTATCAGTAAGAAAATCAGTAGGTACCGTAAGGAGGATTCGAACCTATGTCCTGGGTACTCACAAGCAGTCGCATTAGACCACTACAACACGACATGGTCAAAAAACAATGCAACCTGAGATTTAGCTGAATCCTCTAGGGGTTCTGAGGCTTCCATGGAAGCCTCAGAACCCTTAGAAGATTAGTTGAATCACAGGTTGCATTGCTTATTGACCATGTCGTGTTGTAGTGGTCTAATGCGACTGCTTGTGAGTACCCAGGACATAGGTTCGAATCCTCCTCATGGCTACCACTGATTTTCTCATAATCTGTGAGAACAATTGCGCTGGAGTCTGTTCCATACCTCCTACTATAGTCTCTATGGGATAGTAACAACAATGGTGTCGTTTCCATACCTTAGAATTAGTGAAGGGGAGGAAGAGAGCCATGAGGAACACCGCCAGCAGGGGCCCGGCCACGGCAGTGTTGACAGCGATGCCTGCCTGGAGGACTCCGCCCAAGTTCCCCGCCAGGAGGGCGAAGCCCACCGATATTATCCCGTAACCCAGAGCTGAGGAAGGTGCAAGAGCAAGGTCATGGAGATGTTTGGAGGCTGCGGGAGGCGCTACATCTCCCGCACATCATCACACAAACGTGATGTATATATAAACAAAATTTGGAAGCCAAACAATGGGTGCGAATCCGCGTTATTGGGCTCCCAAGTGCGTATGTCTCAAGCGTCCAGGAATGTTAATATTTGATTTAAACCTTTTCTGATCAAATAACGATTTACTAAAAAACTGAAATATGGTCCATTCCCTGATCAAGTAATTAATCAAAGAAGGCACCAAGCCGGGAAGGCTATGTAGCAATTCTCTGATCAAAAATAGGTGAAAATACATTAATATATAAAAGGAATAGACGTATTAGCTACAGGCAACTGATCTCTTTACTGTAACTCCCTAAACTACAGATAAACTATTCCAGCATCCCACACCAGGCACACGAGAACAATTTCAAAATAATATACAATTCAAAATACAAATAAATACAAAATACAAATTCAATACAAAAACAATATAAAATTCTGTAGAATGACGTCAAAATCCAATTACTATACCGAAAATAAAGGATTAAAAATATCCAAATTAAGACAATAAATATAAGCCAATATCCGCAAGACTAAACAAAAGTATATATTAAAAAGGAATTATTAATGCTAAAAATGCTTAATCAATGTTTAAAATGAAATGAAGTTGTTGGAAAGAGCTTGCAACTTACCCAAGAGTTTGGTGAGTAGTGCTTGAGTGGCTTGGTTAAGTTTAGCGAATCTTGGGATTTTAGCGAAGACGTCTTCCCAGGTCACCGCTGCTTGTGAGTTGACGCCGGACGAGATGGTGCTACGGGTGCAGGTCAAAGGTCAAAGTGATGAAGCAGAGTGACATTCGCTCCTAAAATGTTTTGAATTTGGCATATTGTACTGAACACAGGGGGAAGGCTATCTAACCTCCTAAGCCTTCTAACAAAATAGAAAACCCAATCTAACCCAATCTAACATAATCTAACTCAACCATAAAGTAGTGGCAACCAAATCCATATATTTTGTATCCGTTTAAACGTAAGAAAGGTCGATACAGGTGTGTAGTCGAACCCATAAGCTGACCTCACCAATCTGGTAACATACTGCATGTGTAAAGGAAGAAATGTACATGTTTATCACACAGAATGTTCGGTAATATGTTTCTTGTTTGTGAGGTGAGAATAGCTTGAGCTACCTCATCCCTTTGTGTGTGTATTTATACTTCCTTTGTGTGAATTTTGGAGAGTTAATTTTTCAATTACCCTCGACAGTGAAGAAAAACGTAAGAAACATTGAGAACATTCGTGTTAGAATTATTAATCTTACCCTTTCGGTCATATTCAACAACATATTTATACTTCAATAAACATAGTTGAATTTGACCTGACCTATGCGTGTGTCTCTGAGCGCGACCGAAGCTAGACTTAACCCCAAGTGAGACTGAGAGACACAAGTAAGAGCCCACAGTAGTGCACCTTAAGGTGGCGGAGAAGATGCAGGCGACGAAGAGCCCCGGGAGCCCAGGAGTGGTAGTGAGGCGGTCCATCACGAAGAAGGGAAGGATCTGGTCATTTTTAGTGATGAGACCCGCCGCCAGGGGGTCGCAGCCCTCGTACGTCGCGAATATCACCAGACCTGTGGACCAAAAACTCAGGTTTTTTACAACATTAGAAATGTCTTTCAGGGTTACATAGGCGTTCATGTCCAGTGTGGATGAACATAAGAACATAAGAACAAGGTAACTGTAGAAGGCCTATTGGCCCATACGAGGCAGCTCCTATTTATAATATAGGAACACTATAGGATGGTGTGGAATGTATGCACATAAGGGAACCTAACATTCAGGATTCGTATAATGTTATGATAGTGATAAATAGCATCATTATCAGGTAGAATCCAAACCTTCATAACTTCCTTTAGTGTGTCTAAACTGAGGAGTCTCAGTAGAGTCAACATACAGTTTGAAACATGGCAATGCAACCTGTCTATCTTGAGGTTATCTTGAGATGATTTCGGGGCATTAGTGTCCCCGCGGCCCGGTCCTCGACCAGGCCTCCACCCCCCCAGGAAGCAGCCCGTGACAGCCGACTAACAACCAGGTACCTATTTTACTGCTTGGTAACAGGGGCATAGGGTGAAAGAAACTCTGTCCATTGTTTCTCGCCGGTGCCCGGGATCGAACCCGGGACCACAGGATCACAAGTCCAGTGTGCTGTCCATTCGAAGGGAGACTTCGAACGGACAGATCATAGACTCAACTCAATGTCATCCTATCAAGGAGTAATTTCGTCTTCCACGAAAGTCTGAGGTAACTTCAAGTCACCATTCCTTACCCACGAGCATAGTGAGGGAGATGGTGAGGATGAAGAACGGAATCACCAGGAAGATGGCCCTGAAAACAAGAGATAGAAACATTTTATAAATGTAAAAAAAAAATCTATTGTGAATATATTATTTTATTCAATATTTTTATTATCGTAATTAGAGCTTTCTATCGCGTTAATGCATGTATATTTGCTCTCTATATAATATATCCAGCTCCTACTTTGAAATTATTTTTTCATGTCTTGTATTTTTACGTAGTGTATCTTAAATATTTAGACGATTTCCCTGTGTTCAGTCTCCTTCCTTGTATTGAATTATGTCTTTTAGTTACCTTTTTCTGTGTTGAAACAATGAACTCTTGATAATGATATGTTTAATCTGCGAATATGATATGTTCTGATATACCTCAGAACTCTGCAATCTCTTTTAAAGTTGCTATCACTATTGCTCTTTAATTAACTTTGTCAAAGCCTTAACACAAAATGCTCCCATCAGACGGGATTAATCATGTCTAAATGCACACAATACCATTTCAGCTGACTCTGCCATGGCCGTACCAGTTATAGCTTGACCTGTGTAAGCCATAACTTTACCTGTGTAAGCCATAACTTGACCTGTGTAAGCCATAACTTGACCTGTGTAAGGCATAACTTTACCTGTGTAAGCCATAACTTTACCTGTGTAAGCCATAACTTTACCTGTGTAAGCCATAACTTTACCTGTGTAAGCCATAACTTTACCTGTGTAAGCCATAACTTTACCTGTGTAAGCCATAACTTTACCTGTGTAAGCCATAACTTGACCTGTGTAAGGCATAACTTTACCTGTGTAAGCCATAACTTTACCTGTGTAAGGCATAACTTTACCTGTGTAAGCCATAACTTTACCTGTGTAAGCCATAACTTTACCTGTGTAAGCCATAACTTTACCTGTGTAAGCCATAACTTTACCTGTGTCTTGTAAACATGTGTTCAATGTGATCTTCCATGTGTTGTCTGGCAAGTGGCCAACACACACACACACACACACACACACACACACACACACACACACACACACACACACACACACATATCGGCATAGGGGCCTCGTAGCCTGGTGGATAGCGCGCAGGATTCGTAATTCTGTGGCGCGGGTTCGATTCCCGCACGAGGCAGAAACAAATGGGCAAAGTTTCTTTCACCCTAAGTGCCCCTGTTACCTAGCAGTAAATAGGTACCTGGGAGGTAGTCAGTTGTCACGGGCTGCTTCCTGGGGTGTGTGTGTGTGTGTGGTGTGTGGGGAAAAAAAAAAAAAAAAAAGTAGTTAGTAAACAGTTGATTGACAGTTGAGAGGCGGGCCGAAAGAGCAAAGCTCAACCCCCGCAAAAACACAACTAGTAAACACACACAAACACACACACACACACACACACACACACACACACACACACACACACAAGCAGTCAACATTAAAAGCTGTTTAGAACTGAATGGACCCGTGGTTAGCACAGAGGAGGGAAGATCAGTTTTGTAGAGCGGTCTGATTGGCAGAACGAAAATAAAGAGCAGTAGCGAACGACCTGATTGGCAGAACAAAAATGATGAAGATCGGGTGACGAGCGACCTGATTGGGTGAACAAATTTGCTTAACCCAAACGAACATTTTCTAACATACAACTCACCTCCGCCTTGATTTGTGCGTTGGTAAATGGGAAGGAGAAGCACAGCGTTACGTTAACCTACCTACCACGCTTGTTACAAGTCAACACGTGGTTATACGTCGTTAGAGCATGCTAGTCGTCGTTAGAGCATGCTAGAGGAGCCGGTCGGCCGAGCGGACAGCACGCTGGACTTGTGATCCTGTGGTCCTGGGTTCGATCCCAGGCGCCGGCGAGAAACAATGGGCAGAGTTTCTTTCACCCTATGCCCCTGTTACCTAGCAGTAAAATAGGTACCTGGGTGTTAGTCAGCTGTCACGGGCTGCTTCCTGGGGGTGGAGGCCTGGTCGAGGACCGGGCCGCGGGGACACTAAAGCCCCGAAATCATCTCAAGATAACCTCAAGATAGTGAACATCTAAGGGGACAAATCCCCAAGGGCCGTGACGAGGGCTCGAACCTACGATCCGTGGTAGGTCAAGTTGATTTCCCGGTTGCAATTCTTTTTACCATGTCGTAACTCAGTCCATTACGGCAGCGTCTGGGATCCTCTCGAACGTAAGTTCGAACCCTCGTCACGGCCCTTGTGGATTTGTTCATTTGATGCATCACGCTATTGTGATTTCTGTGTGAAATCTAAGCGTATACGCCAAGGAAATCTCTCATCGGCATACTGCAGAACTGTGTCAATTGGCATGTAGCTTGTTGTTGTTTAAGATTCACTACTTGGAACAAAAAGTTCCTAGTAGCACGGGCTATGGTGAGCCCGTAGAACGGAGCCGTGTGCAGTATCGACAAGCAGTCACCTACTGAGAACTTGACAATTAGAGAAAACGCAGATGTTTCATATTTAACCCAAAATGACATGTAGTTTCAAAAATATGATGGATATTTAAAATATTATATTACAGTATGTACTGTAATGTAACCCCCTGTTACATGTACAAACATGAAGGTACTCACATATAGGCCTGGGAGAGGGACTTGATACTGACGTAACGCTGAATGGCTGTCTGTGTACACGAGTACTGGGACAACTGGCCCACCAGTGCTCCCACTACTAAGTTGGCGACGGTGTGTCGCTCTAGTGGCTCGAATCCGTACCTGTAAAGTGATGAACTGGTGAGTCAGTGTACCTGGGAGGGGAAGGGGGGGGGGTGAACAGTGGGTCAGTGTACCTGGGGGGGGGGGGGTTAACGGTGTTTGGTCATGAGCAGTGGAGTATATCTGAGTGTATGTGTGTGTATGGGGTGTTTGTTTATGTACGTGAGGGTGAGTATTGTGTATATATATATATATATATATATATATATATATATATATATATATATATATATATATATATATATATATATATGTCGTACCTAATAGCCAGAACGCACTTCTCTGCCTACTATGCAAGGCCCGATTTGCCTAATAAGCCAAGTTTTCATGAATTAATTGCTTTTCGACTACCTAACCTACCTAACCTAACCTAACCTAACGTTTTCGGCTACCTAACCTAACCTAACCTATAAAGATAGGTTAGGTTAGGTTAGGTAGGGTTGGTTAGGTTTGGTCATATATCTACGTTAATTTTAACTCCTATAAAAACAAATTGACCTCATACATAATGAAATGGGTAGCTTTATCATTTCATAAGATAAAAATTAGAGAAAATATATTAATTCAGGAAAACTTGGCTTATTAGGCAAATCGGGCCTTGCATAGTAGGCCGAGAAGTGCGTTCTGGCTACTAGGTACGACATATATATATATATATATATATATATGTCGTACCTAGTAGCCAGAACGGACTTCTCAGCCTACTATTCAAGGCCCGTTTTGCCTAATAAGCCAAGTTTTCATGAATTAATTGTTTTTCGACTACCTAACCTACCTAACCTAACCTAACCTAACTTTTTCGGCTACCTAACCAAACCTAACCTATAAAGATAGGTTAGGTTAGGTTAGGTAGGGTTGGTTAGGTTCGGTCATATATCTACGTTAATTTTAACTCCAATAAAAAAAATTGACCTCATACATAATGAAATGGGTAGCTTTATCATTTCATAAGAAAAAAATTAGAAAATATATATTAATTCAGGAAAAGTTGGCTTATTAGGCAAATCGGGCCTTGCATAGTAGGCCAAAAAGTGAGTTCTGGCTACTAGGTACGACATATATATATATATATATATATATATATATATATATATATATATATATATATATATATATATATATATATATATGTATATGTATATATATATATATGTATATATATATATATATATATATATATATATATGTGTATATATATATGTCGTACTTAGTAGCCAGAACGCACTTCTATGCCTACTATGCAAGGCCCGATTTGCCTAATAAGCCAAGTTTTCATGAATTAATTGTTTTTCGACTACCTAACCTACCTAACCTAACCTAACCTATCTTTTTCGGCTACCAAACCTAACCTAACCTATAAAGATAGGTTAGGTTAGGTTAGGTAGGGTTGGTTAGGTTCGGTCATATATCTACGTTAATTTTAACTCCAATAATTTTTTTTTTACCTCATACGTAATGAAATGGGTAGTTTAATCATTTCATAAGAAAAAAATTAGAGAAAATATATTAATTCAAGAAAACTTGGCTTATTAGGCAAATCGGGCCTTGCATAGTAGGCCGAAAAGTGCGTTCTGGCTACTAGGTACGACATATATATATATATATATATATATATATATATATATATATATATATATATATATATATATATATATATATATATATATATATATATATATATATATATATATATATATATATATATGTCGTACCTAGTAGCCAGAACTCACTTCTCAGCCTACTATGCAAGGCCCGATTTGCCTAATAAGCCAAGTTTTCATGAATTAATGTTTTTTCGTCTACCTAACCTACCTAACCTAACCTAACCTAGCTTTTTTTGGCTACCTAACCTAACCTTACCTATAAAGATAGGTTAGGTTAGGTTAGGTAGGGTTGGTTAGGCTCGGTCATATATCTACGTTAATTTTAACTCCAATAAAAAAAAATTGACCTCTTACATAGTGAAAAGGGCAGCTTTATCATTTCATAAGAAAAATATTATAGAAAATATATTAATTCAGGAAAACTTGGCTTATTAGGTAAATCGGGCCTTGCATAGTAGGCTGAGAAGTGAGTTCTGGCTACTAGGTACGACATATATATATATATATATATATATATATATATATATATATATATATATATATATATATATATATATATATATATATATATATATATATATATATATATATATAAATATATATATATATATATATATATATATATACACATATACATATATATATATATATATATATATATATATATACATATATATATATATACATATACATATATATATATATATATATATATATATATATATATATATATATATATATAAATAATATAAATCAATGACACATATAACTTCTAAATCTAAAACTATATCTAGATTATACAACACGTAATTATAGCCATTACGTGTTTTCTGTTATTAATGTATTTTAGAAAGTAAACAATGTATTGTAAATTTGATTAGACTCAATTATAGAAATACATATACTTACTACATATATTTTTAATTTGAATTTAATAATAATCTACACATTGTTCATGAGAAATCATGAATCATGAGAAAATTCACGAGAAAATCATGAGGAATTCATCTAATCATGAGACAATTAGCATATCCGCTCCCAAGAGCCAGCGACGTACGTCAAGATTTGGGCTCCGGTCCGGTTGTTGGTGACGCCCAGCTCCCAGACCTTGCCGATGCCTCCCAGGTCGATGGTGCCCTTGATGATGATGGCCATGAGGCCGAAGATGATGAAGTAGAGCTGCAAGACGTCCGTCCACACCACCGCCTTCAGCCCGCCCTGAGGAAGGTCAAAGGGCCTCTTCACCTTCCGTCTCACACTCAAGTGGTTTCCACGGAAAGAAAGGTGGAAATTCAGAGCCCAAAAATTGGAAATTCAAGGTGGAAATTCAGAGTCCAAAATTTGGAAATTCAAGGTGGAAATTCAGAGTCCAAAATTTGGAAATTCAAGGTGGAAATTCAGAGTCCAAAAATTGGAAATTCAAGGTGGAAATTCAGAGTCCAAAAATTGGAAATTCAAGGTGGAAATTCAGAGTCCAAAATTTGGAAATTCAAGGTGGAAATTCAGAGTCCAAAATTTGGAAATTCAAGGTGGAAATTCAGAGTCCTAAAATTGGAAATTCAAGAAGGAAATTCAGAGTCCAAAAATTGGTTAAGCGTTTGGCCTTCGTCGTGTGTTTGTTGCTGCTTGTTTGGGGTGACTGGTGAACTACTTAATTACACACACCCCTGCGGCGTAGTGATAGTTAGATACGAGAGCACGCAATATCTCATCTTAACCAGCTTGCCTTCTTAGAACCCGGCCTCAGGCCAAGTCCATTCCATCCAGCGGTCGACCCCATAGACGCATTTATAAATTTTAACATTCTTTTCATTCAAAACAGGATTTTTTCTCAAATATAAATTAATATTATTATATATTGGCTTATTGTGCATATTTAGGCACTGGTTAGATTAGGTGTTTAGGTTCTGTTGGCGATTATTTGTATTTGTAGTACGTGGGTGAAGCATTTATAGCGTTGTGGTTCGAACAAAACTCGTCAGTGAAGCACTTGTTCCGGAAGTGTTCGAACGAAATCAGTTGAGTCGAGTGTAAACCGTTTTTCATTCATAAACAGGGGGTTTGGCGGGTGGATGGAATCACTTTTGGATCTTTGTTTGGAGGACGGGCTACATTTATAGCGTTGTGATTCGAACAAAATTCGTCAGTGAAGCACTTGTTCCGGATATGTTCGAACGTCAGCAGTTGTGAGTCGTGTGTAAACCGCTTTTCATTCATAAATAGGGGGTTTGGCGGGTGCATGGAATCACTTTTGGATCTTTGTTTGGAGGACGGGCTGGCATTTACAGCGGTGTGGTTCGAACAAAAGTCGTCAGTGAAGCACTTGCTCCGGAAATGTTCGAACGTCAGCAGTTGTGCGTCGTGTGTATACTGATTTTCATTCATAAACAGTGGGGTTTGGCGGGTGCATGGAATGGACTTGGGGGCCATTTGTTTATGAGGACGGGCTGCTTCTTAAACAAAGACCAAATGCCGTTAATCCAGCCGCTGAACATGGCATTTGTGAATGAAAAACACATTACACACGACTCACAATGGATTACGAACAAACTTTCCTCGAACACTGCTTCGATCACTGTTCGAATCACATCTCTGTCACCCTGAACACCTAACCTAATCCTCACCTAACTCAGCACAAAATTTTAATTTAATAATATTTATTTACATTTGATAAAATATAGATTGTAAATACACAATACGATAACATTTGTGAATGGGTTCGGGCGCTTTTTGGCTGAGCATTGTCTGAGAACGGGTTGAACATATTGTTTCGGTTCATTTAGTCCGAAAACAGAACAAAAATGATTAAATATAGCTAAAACGTGCGCTCGCGTGCAGCGTTGCCAGTCGTCAGTTTGTTTACATATTTACATAGTTACCATCTAATCTGATGAAAATTAAAGGAACTAATTTAACCATACCTGACAAGGACTAGTTCAGATAAGGTAATTGTGAGGAGTAAGTGTTCAACTATTATGACTATGTTGCACTTGCAAGAGATATGAGGACCAGGAGCTGGGATATGAGGACAAGGAGCTGGGATATGAGGACAAGGAGCTGGGATATGAGGACAAGGAGCTGGGATATGAGGACAAGGAGCTGGGATATGAGGACAAAGAGCTGGGATATGAGGACAAGGAGCTGAGATGTGAGGACAAGGAGCTAATATATGAGGACAAGGAGCTGGGATGTGAGGACATGGAGCTGGAGTATGAGGACAAGGAGCTGGGATGTGAGGACAAGGAGCTGGGATATGAGGACAAGGAGCTGGGATATGAGGACAAGGAGCTGGGATATGAGGACAAGGAGCTGGGATATGAGGACAAGGAGCTGGGGTATGAGGACAAAGAGCTGGGGTATGAGGACAAGGAGCTGGGATATGAGGACAAGGAGCTGGGATATGAGGACAAGGAGCTGATATATGAGGACAAGGAGCTGGGATATGAGGACAAGGAGCTGGTATATGAGGACAAGGAGCTGATATATGAGGACAAGGAGCTGGGATATGAGGACAAGGAGCTGAAATATGAGGACAAGGAGCTGGGATATGAGAACAAGGAGCTGGGATATGAGGACAAGGAACTGGGATATGAGGACAAGAAGCTGGGATATGTTACCATATGCAAATGTTACTAACAGATACCAATATTCCAGAGCCTTAAGTGTCATTCATAGCCAGAAAAGCTTAGTCCTTGGAGGTCTAAACTTGAACTCCCTCAGTACGAGTCGCGAGAGACAATGATTCTCTCAAGCGGCCACTGGTCTAAACTCACGAAGGAGGTGTATGCGGAGGCGATGATGCCGACGGTGAAGACGGAGACCCAGAGGGAGAAGTTGGTGACGGAGGCCAGGGCGAGGGCCGGGGCGTAGATAGATACGGACTGGTACAGCAACATCTGGAGCACGAACATGCCCCCAGCCACGCTCCTCACCCAGCGAGAGGCGTACCGCAGCTCTAAGTACTGTGGACAAAAACATCCCGCTATCATTCACAACACACAGGTGTATATTGACCCATCCACACACTAGAAGTCTCCGTGGTGTAGTGGTAAGACACTCGCCTGGCGTTCCGCGAGCGCTATGTCATGGGTTCGTATCCTGGCCGGGGAGGATTTACTGGGCGCAATTCCTTAACTGTAGCCTCTGTTTAACGCCACAGTAAAATGTGTACTTGGATGAAAAAACGATTCTTCGCGGCGGGGATCGTATTCCAGGGACCTGCCCGAAACGCTACGCGTACTAGTGGCTCTACAAGAATGTAACAACTCTTGTATATATCTCAAAAAAAAAAATGAAGGGACGACGACGATTCGGTCCGTCTTGGATCATTCTCAAGTCGATTTTGATTCATCGCCAGCACACAGGAGTAACAAAGCCTAAGAGTTCCTACAAATTTCAGCTGGTACTCGCTAGTGATCTCAATTAATCCCAATACAAACTCCTACGCATCGTGATTTGTGTTACGAATTAATGCCAATTCTTGCAGAATGTATTAGACCTGCGCTTCGTGGTACGCTCCTCAGTGGGGCCCAGTCTTTGAGAGTGAGCAACAGCGGGACAGAAGGCAACCCACCACCTCCCTATGTTACCTTCTTTATGTTCTATGTTTATGTCTATATTTTTCTATATGTTTTATGTCTATATGTTTTAGACAACTAATTATATCGAGCTAAAGCGTATGTTTTGCATATTAAATAAATTTCACTAATGGTTTATTTATAGGTTTTTTATAAATAAATCTTATAGGTTTACACATTAATATCAATATGCAAATCTCAACTAATGTATTATGTAATTGTAGTATAATTTGACCTGACTTTTAACAGTTCCATTTTGTACAAAATGTTGCTTTTATTTGTGTGTGTAATGTTTACATTAACCTGAAGACAACACTTGCATGGAGATGTCAAGTAAAAAAAAAGTTATAATAATTTGTTAATAAACGACATATTAATTGTGAATTAAAATTACACAAGTTCGCAGTTTTAACAATATTAAAAAAAATCTGTAAAACACACAAACACACACACACACATTATATATATATATATATATATATATATATATATATATATATATATATATATATATATATATATATATATATATATATATATATATATATATATATATATATATATATATATATATATATATATATATATACCCTGGAACAACACCATGGTATCTGGCATCAATCCACCCCTTTGATCCACCCCATACAAGATGCAAACTACAACAGCTTGGGTTATAAGGTTTATAAGGTTACCTCGTAGGCTGAAGTCAACTTGAGCTCGTAGAAGAAAGGCATGAAGATGAAGGCTGCCGGGATCAAGGCGACCTGACCCGCACAGATCACCCACCATTGGACGCCATGGTAATAGGCTTCAGACGGACCCCCTGAACCACCAGGAGATATAAGGCGTTAGACACCTTGTCTAACCTTGTCTAACACCTTGACAACCTTGTCAAGGTGTTGGACAAGTAGTTGGGTAACCTGGATACATGCACACGCGCACACATTAAAAAGAATTAGATATTAAAAATAATTTTTTCACTGTCAAGGTAGTTAACAGGTGGAATGCATTAAGTAGTATTGTGGTGGAGGCTGATCCATACACAGTTTCAAATGTAGATATGATAGAGCCCAATAGGCTCAGGAACCTGTACAACAGTTGATTGACAGTTGAGAGGCGGGACCAAAGACCAGAGCTCAACCCCCCGCAAGCACAACTAGGTGAGTACCCACACTCACACACTATCTACCAACAGAACAAGGGGACATGGGTGGAAACTTGAAACTCAGGAAAGCTATAGATATGTTAAAAATATTTTCATTTAGCGTGAGAGTAGTGTGGGAAATGGAATGACCTAAAGGAGCAGGTTGTGGACGGAAACCTTTCATAATTTTAAAAGTAGATATGATAGGGAAATTGGACAGGAGTCGTTGCTTTAAACAACCTGAAGCTAGAAAGGGTCCAAGAGCTAATGCTCGATCCTGCAGCCACAAATAGGTGAGTACTAACAGGCGAATACACACACACACACACACCTTGAAACTAGGTAAGTACACACACACACACACACACACACACACACACACACACACACACACACACACACACACACACACACACACACACACACACACACACACACACACACACACACACACACACACACACACACACAAGAAGGGGGGGCCTTGCACCTGATTCGGCAGCGCTCGGGGTCGTTGTCTTAAGGGCCCGGGTTCGAATCCCAGCCGAGAGCCCAAGCTATATCCCTGAAACACAAGAGTACAGCTAAACACTGTAATGTGAGACCATCACCAAGGATCTCCTATCTCACTCACTCACTCACTCACTCACTACTCACTCCCTCACTCACTCACTCACTCACCAAGAACGTGGATGCCGGAGATGTAGGAGGCAAAGAGGGACATGGAGACCGGGAAGAACGAGAGGCTGCGTCCTCCAAGAAGAAACTCATCGTTCGCCTTGTGCCGACCCTGAACGGCGTAGTAGATGCCAATGGCCATTGAGGCCACCAACATGCCGATAAATACGAGGTAGTCTTGCCACACGAACAACCCGGTCTCCTGCTCTGACCAGTCGTAAATTGGCGGCAACATTTTCGTGAATATATATATATATATATATATATTTGAGTTTCTTTTGACTCTGTTAATTGGTCGTGACTGGTTGCAAAAGTCGAGTAACTCTGGCTGTGTTAGTCCGTTTGTATATATGCAAAGTGAAGCATTCTCCGGACGCTTGTGTATCTGTTATAGATGAAAGAAAATATGTTAAAATAGATATTCAGGGCAAATTATATCGACAAATAATAGATGTGTTCGGTAATGGGATAAACTATTAAATTTATGTTATTCGCAATACTTAAGAAAAACTGAGTTGGTTGCTTCAGGAAGACAAAGACACTATTGCAGCGTATTAGACTGTCTACAGCGCCTTTGAATGATTCGAAAAGCATCTAATTTGAAGTAGATTTGCCTAACCGAGAGGCTGAAGGCGCAGTAAGCTATTGTGGTTGGCTTAATAACCCTCACGCCAGGTCGATAGACTTTAAATCCAGGTCGATAGATTTTAAATCCAACTCTTCAATTGAGATCCAACTTGCAATATTGCTCAAAAGTTTCGTGCCCCGAACAATAGAACGAATATAGAGGAAGAGTATACAGAGATGGGTAACTAAGTTATCACCAGGGTAACTAAGTTAGCACCAGGGTACCTAAGTTAGTACCAGGCATTAGGAAAGTCTTTCATGAAAAACAGCTAAAGAAATTGACTTAATTTACATTCCCTAAAAGTGCGTAGCGCAGGAGAGACATAAGTCAAAAGTAAAATAGATGAAAGTGTTTAAGAAGAGAGGTGAAACCGGCGATTTAAAAGTATCATCTCAAGTTAAACCGCTAAACAATGCATTTACATTAAATAAATCTAGATAGCACAAATAAATAGGTCAACAAAAAATGAATCAGGAATGATGTAACAAGTCAACTACAGAGATCAAATCCCACTGAAAGATTAAAAGCATCATATGAATAAGTATTAAGGTGTGTGTAATCAGATGAAAGGAACATAACAGAGGGGACACAAATATGGCCATTAATATATGAACATAAAATGGAATATGAAGGAGAGTGTCTGAAAACACCTAGAGCATTTTCATTCTACTTTGCTCTGATGAAGGCGAATTAGCCGAAAACGCGTTAAGCATTTTCTATTTTTCACATGGGTTACTCTTCATACTTGGATCAGTGTTTTTGTGATCATTGCTGCATACCTTATATATATATATATATATATATATATATATATATATATATATATATATATATATATATATATATATATATATATATATATATATACACATATATATATATAAGCCATTACAGGTATAAAGAAAAATCACAAAAAGGTGCTTTTGTTGATGGATTTCGGAATATTTCTATCGTGTTCTGACAGATAATCATGAAATAATAATCCACCAGGCTGTCGGGGTAGCCAGCCACAAAACTGGCTATCCCAACAGATCAGGATAACAAGTCACGTTATACTCTACAAGATTAATTGGAACAAATGTAAACTTTTAAATATTGATATCTAAGATTAATCTATAGTAAGCCTATGCTAGGCCTATTCCCATTGATGGTAAATTAGCGATGGCAGTTTTTGAACGGGAACGATAATTGCGTTTTGAAGTCACTGCGATTACGATATTCTTCAAAAAATAATAATTAAGCGCACTGAAAACAGTCGAAAATCGACAGAGGTTATTTGGAATCGTGTTAACATGATTCAGTTGCCTGTAGTTCGTTGTTGCCTGTACACTTTGATTACACACAGTAGTTAGGGACAGTTCAAATCACCTTTCACCCCCTAACTGTCCTCAGCAAACAACCATAGAATCCCCATTAGAGCACTCTATTAACTAATCTCTCACTAATATTTCGCCTAATACAAAGTTTAACACAGTCGACCAGCCTTCTCATTATTATTGAATGTGAAGAAATCAGTAATGAACTCCACCCAACACACCTCTCAGCCCCAACATGCAGACATAGAAACACCCGTCCCAACAATCATGCAATACAATCATCACGTTGCAACAAAAACGCTATTTCGGTGTTGCAACGTGAACAAACAATAACTTCGTGGTTAGGTTAAGTTTGTGAGGGAAGCCTCTAAGCTCAGGAGAAACTTGGCAAACGAGAATTCAATCAAAATGCCGAAAGACGATATTCCAGGACGGAGACAAAGCTCCACCTTCACCTTGCCAGGTCTGGAAGCACACTGGCAGGCAGGTGTGTGTCGGCCTGCATATCTGCAGCACGTTGAAGTAGAAGGCTCTGGACGAGGATCAGCTTCCCTAGTCACGCGTGTAGCACACGATCCCGAGTATAATTTGTTTAAACTGGATCCCTTACCGATCAGGTAAGGATTCGGACCACTTATATCCATCTTATGGGCAGTAGCTGGTCCTATACCCACCCTATGGATTGTGGTGGACCCCAATTACCATCCTGTGGACAGTGGCTGACCCCCATACCCTTTCAGATGGGCATTGGTGGACCCCATATACACTTTGTGGACGTTCTATCAGTTCCATATGCTCCAACAACAGTTAGGTCAAGTATTGTATTGCCCCGCTGAGGTGGAACAAGCTTGTCCCGCCGGGCTTGTCCGAAACGCTGTGCGGATTAGTGGCTTTAGGCATATTATGTCCCAGATCTATCTAGAAATCCACCATTCTGTTTGTAAATAATTTTGTATGTATGTACTTTAGCTGAATAAACATTATTATTATTATTATAACAAGAACTGGTGAGGGGAGAGGTGAAGATAATCGCTCATATTCAGCCACCACAACACCACCACAACCCCCCCACAACCCCCCACTCCCACAACACCCCCCACCAGAGCTCACTGGATACTGCCAGTTGTTTCAATGAACCGGAACAGTGCACTGCTTATCCAGAGTCCACAAATATAATCATAGGTTCAGTTGACAAGAAGAATCCTTCATATCTCGTCGTCTTCTCCAGGTCAGAATGCTGGGATTTTTGTCCGTAAATTATATTGTATTTGAGTACATTGAATGGTCTTGAAGTGTGTGTTGTTGGGTAATTACGTGGGGTCGCCATTTATCATATGTTGTACATAAGGAATATAATGTAGTTTTATTTATTTATTTATTTATTTATTTATTTATTTATTTATTTATTTATTTATTTATTTATTTATTTATTTATTTATTTATTTATTTATTTATGCAAGAAGTTACATTGGGTTTATGAGAGTACATAGCATTGCGTTTTCATTCTTGTGAAGCCGCAGCGTATCGGGCAGTTAACTAGTCAGCTATACCATATCATCAACTTAATAGTTACTTAATAGTTACTCAAGCAATTCCTAGGAAAAGTCAAATTTGTATCCTAGAAATTGCATTGTAAAACAGTATGTCGTCAGGGTGGGAATAGGTAGTTACTAGAAAACATGAACAAATATTTAGATTACTCAATCAAAATAGAGTTAAGGTAAGGTCAGGAAAAAAATCAGGAAAAAGCACTAAGCCAATACGACTATATATAGCTCTTGGAAGGTGTAGGGGGATAGGGATTTAGGATGGAACGGTGGAAAGGAAGGAATGGTGCCCAACCACTTCGGGGATTGAACGCCGACCTGCATGAAGCGAGACCGTCGCTCTACCGTCCAGCCCCAGTGATTGGGCATCGAATTATAGGAATGACGAGTGTTCTTGTGAATCCCATTAGAGGATTGGAACATCTTGAAGCTTCGTAAATCCACTTCTATGTAGATTCCGAATTTGTAAGTTTTTGTAGAATGGATTGGTATCATTTTATTTGATTGGCTAATAATTCCCAGTAATTAACAGTTAAACAATTTATTTACCTTTAAGAAGCCCTTGTAGACCTAGAAGTAGCTCAATTAACTCTTAATTACTAATTTTTTTAGTAATTATGAGTTAATTTTAGACAATTAAGAATTAATTTTAGACAATTACTAAATTGTCTTCTGCAATCCTGATAAAGACTAAGATTCCTTCTGACATTATATGTCTTGGCCAATAGTGGTGGGCAGTCTTGGCCATTAGTGGTGGGCAGTCGTGGCCATTAGTGGTGGGCAGTCGTGGCCAATAGTGGTGGGTAGTCTTGGCCATTAGTGGTGACCAGTCTTGGCCATTAGTGGTGACCAGTCTTGGCCATTAGTGGTGGCCAGTCTTGGCCATTAGTGGTGGGCAGTCTTGGCCAATAGTGGTGGGCAGTCTTGGCCATTAGTGGTGGGCAGTCTTGGCCAATAGTGGTGGGCAGTCTTGGCCATTAGTGGTGGGCAGTCTTGGCCAATAGTGGTGGGCAGTCTTGGCCAATAGTGGTGGGCAGTCTTGGCCATTAGTGGTGGGCAGTCTTGGCCATTAGTGGAGGCCAGTCTTGGCCATTAGTGGTGACCAGTCTTGGCCATTAGTGGTGGCCAGTCTTGGCCATTAGTGGTGACCAGTCTTGGCCATTAGTGGTGACCAGTCTTGGCCATTAGTGGAGGCCTGGTACTGCATAGTCCCCCCCCCCCTCCATCACCCATTTATACCGGCCTGTACTGGGCAATAATCTATGCCATCCCGGTGCGTGGCACATCAACAGTAGTCAGAGGTAAGCAACTCCGGTAGGGGGGTTGAGATAGAAAAGACCCCCCACCACCACCCCATCCCCTCCAATCCCCCCAATCCCCTTCCCCAATCCCCCCAATCCCCCACCCTCTGGATGTGATGAGGGAACTGATGAATAAGGCTCTTTGCATGACGGGTGAAGCTGGTGAAGCTGTTGTTTGTACACCCCTGTCCACATGTGCATGGTAATTGACAGAGTGACGATCCGAGGGGTGTTGTCAAGACCCAACCCGTCCATCTATTTAGACAGTAACTATTGTGACGGTCCGTCAATAGTCACGAATTCGTATTAGCTTTACGACAGTAGTGGACTAACTAGTTAGGAATTCTTTAAAAAAAAAATTAAGCTAAAAATATACTTAAATATTCCTAGGGCTAATATAGCAGACATATATACTATATTAGGCCTCATATATCGTGTATTAAGCCTAGGAAAGGTTAGGTTAGTTTAGTTTGTCTTTGCAACACAAGTAAACAAAATAGTTTTCCTGTTTGTCCAACTCAATAGTGCCGATTTGTACTTTCTAATTTCGTTGTACGTCGGTATATGTACTATGGTCCTCATCGTTACT